AAAAAAATCACAGTAAAAGACACATTGCCATTAACCCCCCTCAAAATACTCCCCTTCACTTCGAATACACTTATCCCATCTTTCTTGTCACTTTCTGAAGCAGTTCTGGAAGTCCTCTTTCATGAGTGTCTTTAGTTGCGCTGTTGTGGCTGCCTCAATGTCCTGAATCATGTTGACTTTGGGGAAGAGCCAGAAGTCACACGGTGCCAGATCCGGTGAATAAGGTAAATGAGGACACAGCATAATGTTTTTATTTGACAGAAATTGCCATATACCAGAAGCGATGTGTGACAGGGAGCATTGTCATGATGGAGTATGATTTACGGCACACTTTAAAACCCACCTTCTCTCAACTGTGGCTCACACCCAACTGACTGCACTGAACAAGCTGAAACTTGTCACACACTGTTACTAAGGTTTGACACGCCACTTCCCGTATTGAAGATTCCTACCTTTCCACTGTATGGCACTCGGCAGCAGAATTCATCATATGTTTTGATCACAATGGAAAGGCTCCATGTCATACATTGCTTTTTTTTTTTTTTTTTTACATGTACTGAGAAACCAAAAAATTTGTGTGACTTGCTTTATTACAATGATTCACTTTATTGTTGTGGTCTGGAACTGAACCTGCAATATCTCTGAGGCATGTCTGTAGTCATCACAACTGTGCGATATTGGCAAAATGATAGCCATTGGTCTATGTAGAACAGAATAGAGTGTCCAGAAACAGAGCCACACAGAAATAATAAATTGATTTTTGAAAAAAGTGCCAAGGGAATTCAATACAGAATAAAAAATATTTACAAGAAATGATGCTGGAGCAACTGAACATCCATATAAAAAAAGATAAACCTCAACACATACCTTGCACAACCTGTAAAAATTATCTCAGGATGGATCATAGACTTAAATGTAAAACCTGATACTATAGAACTTCTAGAAGATAGTAAAAAAGAAAATGTTTGTGAGCTTAGGTTCCCAGATAGCAAACAAAAAGAACCATCTATAAAAGAAAAAAATTAAAAATTTGTTTTTATAAAGGATACTATTAAAATAAAAAGAGAACTCACAGTTGGGAGAAAATATCTGCAGTCGATATATATAATAAAGAACTTGTGTCCAGAATTTATAAAGAATTCTCAAAGCTCAACAATAAGAAAACAAACAATTCAATTTAAAAAATGGGCAAAAGATTTGAGCAGACACTTCATCAAAGATATGGGTGGCAAATAAACTCATGAAAGAGACTCAGCACCATTAGACAATGAAAAATGCAAAGTAAAACCATAATAAGATACCACTACATGTCCACCAAAATGGCAAACAACAAACAAACCTACCAATGCTAAGTACTACCAAGGATGCAGATCATTGCTGAGCAGAATACAAAATAATATAAACATGCTAGAAAACAGTTTTAACCCAAGAGAAATGATGGTATATGTCCACACAAAAATCTATATGTGAATGTTTCTAGCTTTATTTATAACAGCCCAAACCTGAAAACAATCCAAATGTTTATCAGCCGGTGAATGGATAAACAAATTGTGGTAGATGCACACAGTACTCAATGTTGATAACGAACTAACTATGAATATACCTAACAATATGGATGAATCTCAAAATCATTATGCTAAATTAAAGAAGCCAGACACCAAAGTATACATTCTATATGCTACAATTTATATGATACCTGGAAAAGCCCAAACTATAGGGAGAGAAAATAATTTAAAAAAAATTTTAAACAAGGGCAATTAAAAAAAAATAACTGCAAACATTTATGTGGTACTTTACTGTGGTGATCCTCACAACATCCTATGGAGTAGATAATAGTTTTATATCCATCTTATAGATAGGAAAATGGCGATCAGAGAGATTATCCAGTTTACTCAAGGCAACACCGTTAGTGACTGCATGTTCTCATATTTGAACCTTGATCTTTGTTGCTTGAAATTTCATGTTGTTTTTTTCCCCTGCTATACTAGTAATTATTTGTCATCCTTGTCTTTCATAATACTTGGTTTCAGCCTCTGCTAGAAAAGTTATAAAGTGGTTTTGTAATAAATAACTTAGATTGTAAATAAGAAATAAGGTCTTATTAATTCTTAATGTTTACATTGTTTCACACATTGGGCACAGTGGACATTCAACTATTTATGAATGAATAAAGAATTACTTGCATTTCCTGACAGGAGAGGTATCACTGAATTAAGAGGGCACATGTTCCGGTAACTATTATTTCACTTGCGGAAAGCATTACTTCACTTGCATATATATGGCACTGCAAGTAGGGTGTGTCTAAGAAGGTAAGGCTTTTCGGAGGCAATTTCTAGTGTGCGCATTACCAAAGCCTCACTATCCATATTTGGGAAAAGGACATAATACTCATCCTTCCTTTTTCATAATTATGTGGATCAATGAGATAGATAATGGATTTGAAAAGTCCTTTGCAAATGGTAAATCAATATATAATTATTGTTAAAATATTTATGTATTATTATCCATATCAAGCTGTTCAAAGTAACAGAGAAACCTTTTTCTCAAAATCTTTATAAGAAAAAGATTTTAAAATCTCATTCCTTTAGTTAATGTTGTGTAATGTTTTCTAGCAATGTTTATAATGTTTTACTAACAATGAAACTCACAAGACCAAACAGTTGTACGTATACTTTATAATGAAATTATGGTCTAATGGAGTTAACAAGCTTCTAGCTCTGGCAGCAAAGACCGATGACAAGGACAAATAGAAAATACATAAGAAAGAAAAATCAGTTCGCAAAAGGAAGTGTTTTAAGTAAATAGTTAAAAGTTTGCTGCTAACATTTGGTATTTACATACAGGAATAAATTAAAGAACCAGTAGTTTTTTGTGGGGTTTTTTTTCCAAAGTATATTCACCATTTGGTCCCCAGAAACTATCCATGTGATTAAGTAATGAGAAAATGGCTTTAACCTGTAATATTCAGAACATACTTTTCCAATGCCCAAATATTTCTAAACAAAGGTATCATACACAAGGGAAAATTAAGTGGTCTGAGTTATAAAAACAATTCCCCCCAAAACCTGAAAACATTTGTCCATCAAGATGTGCTCCGATGTTCACTGCAGCTTTATTTATGGTGGCCAAGACATGGAAACAACCAAAGTGTCCTTCCACAGATGACTGGATAAAGAAGATGTGGCATATATACATAATGGAACACTACTCTGCCATAAGAAAAGATGAAATACTGCCATTTGTGACAACATGGATGTATGTTGAGATTACTATGCTAAGTGAAATAAATTACATAGAATAAGTCAAGAACCATATGATTTCACTGATATGTGGTATATAAAACTGTAAACAACAAAGGAACAAGACAAAGAAACAACAACTCACAGACACAGACAATAGTTTAGTGGTTACCAGAAGGTAAGAGGTGAAGGAGGTGGTAGATAAGGGTAAAAGAGATCAAATATATGGTGATGCAGTGAGAACTGACTCTGGGTGGTGAACACACAATGTGATATACAGATGATGTATTACAGAACTGTACACTTGAAACCTATGTAACTTTACTAACCATTGTCACCCCAATTAACTTTAATTTAAAAAACAATAACAAATTAATATTAGGCCTTCTTTGGATATGCTCATAGTTTCAAGAATTTTTGTTAAAATAATTGCTTATGTATTAAAACATGTAGGACTAAGAAAAGGCAGTGAAGGTGGTTCATTGCAACTTCTGGTTTTTCAAGAGGAAATGGCAGGATCATATTTGGTTAAAGTTTTATACTATGTCCCTGTACAACATCATAAAAGTCAATAAAAACGTGTAAATATTCATTACTTAATTCCTTTAATAATTTTATCTTGTGTGTGTAATAAAGGCGACTAAGCATCACTTTAAATAAAGTTAGGATTTCAGTGTCTAAGGACAAAACTCATCAAGGCTACCAATTAAAGTCTCTAAAACAGCGGTTCTCAACCTGTGAGTCGCGACCCCTTTCACAGGGGTCACCTAAGACCATTGGAAAACAAAAAGATATTTACATTACGATTCATAACAGTAGCAAAATTACAGTTATAGAGTAGCAACGAAAATAATTTTATGATTGGGGGGGTCACCACAACATGAGGAACTGTATTAAGGGGTCACAGCATTAGGAAGGTTGAGAACTGCTGCTCTAAAAGGTTGTTATGCGTATGTTCCAACTTAAAAACTCAAAACATGTAATATTTCAATAAACATGTTAATTGAGCTCAGACTATTACTTCTGAATTATTCTATTTTAATCTCTGAAAAATCTTACTAGCACAATCTTATGAAACATCAAAGTCTGGGAACTCTAAATACACAGACATTTCTCTATAATCGGCTTCATTTCAATGTACAAATTCGTTTAACAGAAACGTCATCTGCAAATGCATACACATGTGATACATGAAGCCACATGTGATACATGAATTTCCATTTTGAAAATGATTTTTCCACCCTAGCTCAGAAACGCCCATTTAAGGAAATCCCACACTGAAATCAAATGTAAGTTTTTTCTTTAAAACTAAGGGACAAGATTCTCCCTTGAGCTCGCGTTTCTCCCCGCACGAGATTTTAATTTGGGGCAAAAGGATAATATTTCTGATTAAATAACAACTATGATAAAGGGGGAGAATTATTTAATGTCAACCAAGTACCGCACTCAACTTTTGAATTTGCTCGGAATCGCGGACGCTACTTGAACTGTAAGGCGCATTTCCAGAGCGTTAAACACCTCGTTAATTAAATCTTAAGGGCAAGGTCCAGCTAAATTTAGTACAAGCAGAAAAACTACCATTAAATAAAACTCGGTTACACCGAGTAGGCACCTCCTTAGACCCGACAATGGAAATCGCCTAGTTTGAGCTCAGCAGGCGCCGCGGAACATCACAACGCCCAAGCAAGGCCCTCCCGCCCCAAGGGCGCCTGCGCAATATCCGCAGTCAGTTATACCCTTCCTCGGCTAGTCAACGCGAATGGTTTTGAAATGACTGTCAGGTCACGCCTCACTTTAAAAATCAGTAGGGATGAAAAGCACACCAGAACGACCACTCACCGAAGTGGTCCTAAATGCAAGCGACAGGATTTAAGCTTCCTCTCGCGACTTATCTGGTGCTGCCGGAAGCGGGACTACCCGCGTCGTTAAGAGAAGGGGCTGATGGGGACGGCGGAGCCTCGGTCAGAGAAGGTGAGGGCGGATCGTTTGGTTCTTGCCGGAAATTGTTCCGCCCGGGGAGATTTCCGTGTGAGACCCGAGGCTGGCGAAGAGGAGGCGTGGCCGAGACTCGCTACTGTAGTAGTGCCTTGCTGTACCTCTATGTGGCTCTGCTGCTGCTGCTTCTGAGAGCAGACCCACGTCCACGCTAACAGCTGGAGTCTCTTGACCAACACCTCACCCCTGCCCCGGGATTACAAGGGGAAACCGAGACCTGAATGGGCTTGGTTATCTGCAGCCGCTCGCCTGACACCCGCAGCCGTGGCAGGTGAGAGCCCCGATTCCAAAGGAGAACTGGGATGCGGAACCCGGTCACCCAAGGTTTGCGGCCGCTTGTGGGCAATTGCTTTGTCTCCTGCTGAGCTCTGCGGAGCTTTAAACACGCGCTCCTCGGGGGAGGGGGGAGGGCAGGTGCCAGAGCGAAAGGCAGCGTGGGCGTGCAGGAGCAGCTACAGCCCCGAGGGTCGTTTCGCGTCTTAATTTCTCCTCCTCCTCCATTGCTTCGCGTTTCATGTCTTGGGTTTGAGATAACCAGAGGTTGCAGCTCAGCTAGAAAGGTACTGCTGGAGCTGCTTCTAGCTGGTACTCCAGACTGCAGTCTCGCTCCACCAAAGTAGGCAGCCTCGAGTTTGGGGACTGCTGCTGTGGGTCGAGATGGCTGTTTTTATTTTCAGTCCTCGTCCTTTATCCCTTTGCTCCTCGCCGCCTATCACCAAACTTCAAAAGAACAAAAAGCTCCATGCGTTGCAGCTTTCCAGAGTGAGGACCGAGGCTACCTACCGGTCACCGCCGCGCCCAATCAGTTGGAGAGCGTGGCATCCTCGCGCGCTCTGAGGCAGAAGGGGCGAGGGTGGTGACCATGGGGTCTTATTGACTAGGCTCTCGACGACTTCCTGGGAGCTTGCGACCTTTGGAGCCTTGTGGCCAACATTTGTTTTGCTCTAGCGTGCTGAAAGGCTTAGCTGTGAAAGTCGGAAGCATGGCTGACTTGAGCACTTAACCATCCTTGCTCTACCCTGGGGTAGGCTTTTGTTTTACTCTTGAAAATTCTTCAATGAAAAATGAAGGTTTTTTTTGTTTCAAGCAGATAATAACGATAGCTACCATTAACTGAATTCTTCTGCGTGCCAAGTGCTTCACATATTTTTCTCATATACTCCTCAACAGTCCCATGAGGTATAGTAGATTATTATTCTCATTTTACAGAAGTTAGGAGAGGCCACGTGTCTCTCCCTAATAAACTTTTGGTAGCATTAAACATTTGAGTCTTTATTAGGAACCAGATTTTTCAGACTCCAAAATCTGTATTTTTAACTATTAAACTGCTACTGTCTTACCATTATGCTTCATCGTTTTCTGTTTTTTCACTATTATTGGCAGTGGCTGAAAATATTCGTTCACTAGATATTTGGTATGCCTACGTATGTGTCTAATGAAAGACAGACATGGTATTTGTTTTCATGAAACTTCAGTATTGTGATGCAGAATTAAGTAATTCAGAAACCAGAATTTTTTACTTGCTGTAGCTTAGGCTTGTTTAAAGCAGTGCTTAACCTGATGTGCGTGCGGAAGGTTTAGAATTGTGCAATCAAACCTCACTATTTAAGCTTTAAACTCCTACAGCTTGCATGGTAGTTGTTGTGAGGGTATTACGCTGAACAATTGGTGGAACATTTATAGATCACCAAAATAAGTACTATGTACCAATTAACAACATATAAATAGTATTCTGGAACAATTAATTTTCTTAAGTAGAAATGATATCGTGGTTATGTAGGAGGATGTCCTTATTTTTGGAGATGCATACTAAAGTATTTAGAGGTGAACTGAGTGTGTTGATGTCTATAGCTTACTTTCAAATGGTACAGTATGTATATGTGTATATTAATAGAAGTAAATATGGCAAAATGTTAGTAATTTTTTAGTCTAGTGGTGGACATGGGTGTTTATAGGGAACTATTTCAACTTTTTTCAATATTTAAAATTTTTCGTAATAAAAAGTTGGGGAGGAAAACCCTAACTGATGGAAACATTATTTTATTAAATTTATTGGGGTGACATTGGTTAATAAAATTATGTAGGTTTGAAGTGTACAGTTCTATAATAAATCATCTGTATATTTCATTGTGTGTTCACCACCCAAAATCAAATCTCCTTCTGTCACCATATATTTGACCCCTATACTCTTGTTTACCTCCCTCCACCTTCCTTACCCACTAGTAACCACCATACTGTTGTCTGTGTCTATGAGATTTTGTTTGTTTTTTTGTTGCTTTCAATTTTATATTCCACATATGGTCAGGTCATATGGTTCTTGACTTTTTCCATCTGACTTATTTTGCTTAGCATGATAATCTCAAGATTCAGCCATGTTGTTGCAAATGGCAGTATATCATCCTTTCTTATGGCTGAGTAATATTCCACTATATATATATGTACCACATATTCTTTATCCATTCACCTATCAAAGGACACTTCAGCTGTTTTCATGTTTTGGCCACCATGAATAATGCTGTAATGAACATAGGGGTATGTATATCTTTACGAATAAATGTTTTCAATTTTGGGGGGGTTGATACCCAGGAGAGAGATTGCTGGGTCGTATAGTAATTCTATTCTTAATTTTTGAGGAACCTCCATACTGTTTTCCATTGGTGCTGTACTGATTTTCATTCCCACCGGCAGTGTATGAGGGTTCCTTTCTCTCCACAGCCTCTCCCACACTTGTTATTACTTGTCTTGTTGATAATAGCCATTCTAACAGGTGTAGGCTGGTATCTCATTGTGGTTTTGATTTGCATTTCCCTAACAGCTAGTGAAGTTGAGCATCTTTTCATATACCTGTTGGCCTTTTGTATGTCTTCTTGAAAAAAATATCCATTCAGGTCCTCTGCCCATTTTTTAATTGGATTGTGGTTTGGTTTTTTTCATGTTGAGTTGTATGAGTTCTTTTTTATAATTTAGATATTACCGTATTTGCCGGCGTATAAGACGACCCCCTAACATTTCCACTCAAAATACAGAGTTTGT